TTTGGCGGTTTTTACTTACAGCCCTATCTCCAAATTCTACTATAAAATTTTCTTCAGATGATTATACCTCAAACAAAACCTCAACTTTTAACCTATTAATACAAACAATCAAGTGAAACTTCACAATTACCAATCCCCTCGCATATCAATCGCAAACTCAAACAAGCATTTACCTGGAAGATGCTTCTTGGCCAGATAGGGTCGCTGGAGACGGAATCCCCGGAGACGGCAAGTATGGGAGATGAGAGAAAGGGATGATGAATTCCCAGGGTTAACAGTGAGAGAGGGAAAAACGATTTGAGTTTTCTTAATTTGGATTTTTTATTTTAAGTATTTTGAGCTTTTTGGAATTAAGTTAGAGGAATTAGTTTTAACCAAGCAAATTAAATAAGAGTATATTTTCTCAATAAAGAAATATAATTATATAAACGGCATAAAAATTAAAAAAAAATCAACCTACATAAATAGATCGAAGAGATTAAATTTTTACTTCTTTTTAAAAAATGTGTTTTTGAAAATGACATGCAAAAAAAACTGAATACTACGCATCCTTAATTTTTAGTACTAACTTTTAAAACCGCCCTTTTCACTCAACGACCACAATATCGACTTTTGTTATTGTCGGAATACTTTTTCGCAATATAACAATAGAATATTTGTCGCTCAATTTGTTAGGAAAATGACGTAGTGCCACAAAATAACATGTGTTGATATATTTTGTCCACTAACATCTGTCTTTTTTTTATCTATAAATGTGAATTATATCGATCAGAAACTCATGTACAAGTACTCCGGACATATCCAGATGAAACTAAAAAAAATAATGTACGAACGAAATAATCTGTCTTTGAGTGTTATTCAAGCTGCGCAAAGCCATAAACAATAAATGTTGGTCAGTTGTGGAGGTGCCATTGTTTGGAAGCGATTGATAACAATTTCAATGCTCCAATTCAGTTTTATAAGGATTAGATTTTCTTCCAAGATGTAAAATTTGAGAACTTGATTATCAGGATTTATTTCAATTTTTAGGGACCAAAGTGAAAATTTTGAGAGGCAATATTTAATTTAAAAACAATATGGTACTTAATTGCAATGTTTAAAGTTTTAGGGACCTAACTAAAATGCAGGAAAAATTACATGTTTTAGGAGTTTCAAGTTATATTTCAAGGATGATCATAATATCTGAGATTTAGAGGTATTGTTGTAATTTTGGATAGTTTGAGGATCAATTTGAAAGTTTACAAACTCGAAGGACTAGGTTTATTTAGGTCCTTCAAATTCTGCATGCATTAAATTTGATCCTTCGACTTTAATTTATTCAAATTTGGTCCTCCTATTCTCAGGTTTCTCCCTTAAAGTTATTTGGTCTACTTTTGATCCCCAAACACTACAAATGTCGAATTTGATCCCAAAAGCTTGTGAATTCATCCAATTAACAATCTCAAAACTTTCAATCAAACCCTCAATTTCCCTATAGCTCTTCAATTTCATCATTTAGCCCTTGTTTGATCCCCATTTTTTTTCAAAATACATTGCTCTGTCTCTTCTTTTCAACCACACATTCTTCAATAAAAAATATTATACGCAACCCAAAAATTTTTTCAACCACACATTCTCCATCAATCTACTATTTCAAAATACATTCTACACCAAAAAACAAATGGACTCAAAGAGGCCCTTAAGCTCCAACTAAACCCTACATCTCTTCCTTTATGCTCGAGTCAACTCCAAGTCGAGATTTTGCCCATAAAAACAACATATACACTAAAACAAGTACAAATCCATCCACATGAACAATATCTAATAAATTTAGAAACCTAGATAGACGTAAATATGAAGGATAATTTTTATCATATTTATTCAACGCTTTCCTGTTTAGAGGTAATACTTGAAAATGTTTATGTAAACATTATTGCTTTGCTTCTATCATGGTGTTTGTGATCCAATGCTGCAGCCAAACATACTGAAGGTGGTACATTTGTGTGTCTTGGGGAAGTCCATCTCCGATAGATACCATGAATACAAAAATTGCATGGTGAATGCAACGAAAATAATGTTCCCACAATTGGCACTCACTAATTCAGGTATAGTACATCAAGATTTACATAATAGATTACATAATGCCGCATGGCATTCTACCGTTTGTCAAATTAAAACACAATCAATTTTTTCATCCAATCTTTTCCCTCCACATCATATTATGTAATCGATTATGTATATTTTCTATGTACAATAGCAAAATCCAAGAAAATTTACATTTATAATTTTGTTTTCTACAACAATTTATAAACCCTTACAACTCAATCACATTTAATTAATTGTATACACAAACACCAAGCTGTTGACTTCAATAAACCTATTTGAAGCTCATATTAACAATGGAATTTCCTGTTTTCCTTTCCTTCGAATTGAGGCAACACTGCATACATAACTTACAATTCCATGGACATTAATAGCCTCTCATCTTTTGATGAGGGAGTTGAAGTTGTATCAAAGATCTGCAAGAATCATCAAATGAAAAAATTACGCGAATCATCTCTGTAGCACTTGACAAAACTTCGCGAACTGTACAATGATAAACGAATGGTTCAATGATGTATATCAGCCCACGGTTTATTTGCAACACAGAGTCAATTGTGATCATTCACCAATTGCATTTAGGACAAAGAGGATGTTGAAATGCCTCAAATGTTGAAAAAATTTAAAAGCACATGTTCAAGCATGACATGCAAGTTTAGTACTTAACCTTGAAGCCAGTTTTTCTGTACAGATCCTGAGCAGTCTTGTTCTCTGCATTTACATGAACAAACAGATGCCTAATACCTATTTTTGATAACAAAAGAAAAGTGCAAGGCAAATTAGCATAACGAATAGCAAAACGTAAAGCCTACATAAAGATTTAATAGGCAAAAATATTAGTAATAAGCAGCAAAAAAACTTTCAATATGGTTAACCGTTAATGCTAAAATACGGCACCTGTCATGGTGGCAACATCGGTTGCCAAGTATAACATATTTGAAGCAATACCCTGACGTCGAGCAAACTTTGCAACACAAACATTTGCAATGTAAGCATATTTGTTCGCATTAAATGGCCCTTTACTTGCCAAGACAGGTGACAATCTCTTTACCTCCTGAAACCACAGAAATAAGTTTTGCATTGAACATGGTCAATTTACTTAATTCGCTGGAACTTTTATGCCATGCTGTTTTTGCTATTTGCAGACAATTTAGGAAATCGAGAATGTACCCCAGGATATGTCTCCCCTTGGATGAATTGTCTGATGCTCAAGTCCAGAGTTCCTACAACACTGTTCAGGACAGTTCTTCTAACATTTTTCTCTTCCTTCTTAACCTAAGATGTGGAAGGAGAAAAGATGGAGCTCACTGCAAATGTAGAATATTCATCCAACATTTTATAATAGGAAATTCACAACTGAAAGATTTTAATTCATTCAATAAAGTATATGATCCACAAAATCAGACTCATATGTTGAAGAGAGAGAAATTTAATTTGGAGAGACAGAAGTACCCTATGAACTTGGAGTCTGCTGGCCATAGATATAGAAATAGAAAGGAAGGAAGAAAACAGAAATTCTATTCTCCAGTTTGTTTTGCTCGTAAATTGAATGAATAAATGAGCACAACTGGAGAGAGAGAGCTGCATGCAAAGTTGTAAAGGGCTTAGCAGAAGGAAAGACTCGCATCAGAGTTTACTTCACTTACTGCAACAAAACAAAAGCACTTCAATACATTTCCATCCTGCCCAAGACACCTCCGCTTCAAAGCATTGAACTCCTGTGAATACAGGTTAAATGCAAGAGATTCATTAATGCATGAATAAATCATCAAGGAATGGAGTACAAGACTGTTGAGGTGCTCTGGAAGCAACTACAGGGAACCAAATATTGACGAAGATGGGTATTGATACAGAGAGTTGATGTAGCAAACAAATAAATGTGCAAGAAAAAACTAGAGATAAAGGTAGTAGATGTTAAATTTTTTAAGGTACTATTCACAAATAAATTAACATTCAATGAAAAAAAATTTCAACACTAGGGGAAAACCCCAAGCAGAAAAAATGACATGCTTGTGCATCAATTTACATTTAAGAATCAAAAGTCTAAAAGCTAAAGATACAAGGACAACAATTTGCATTTATCATCAATCCAATAGTAGAAAGATAGTATTTCCAAATCCCTTTTTCACCGCCTGAGATAATAATGAAAAAGGGTCTTTCAAGTTCAATCTTTTCAGGGAAACTAGTGCATGACATGTAAATCTTTGAATTTCCAGAGCACAATAACTTGATTCTAAGTTTCTTCCAAAAGGAAAGAACAGGTCAGCGTTCGTTCCACTAATTAGAGTTACAGTTCTTAAAGAGTATTTTACAGTATTGAATTGAGACCTTGTGGAGTTGCATTGAACTCAAAACCAGGTCCAATTCCTGAAGGTCGCCTCCTTCCCTTATGAAGGGTATATCAAGGGAATAGACATTTCCACGTACTCAGGCCATTTTCAGAAAAGAAATTGTAATTCAAGATGCTTGATATGTTGGTTGATATTGCTTAATTTCGAATAGCCAAAAGACAGGTATAAAGGACAATACGGGTGAATAAAATAAATGCAAATGCAACTTGTCTCCATAAACCCAAAGCCGATCATAATCAATCCACATTTTACATTGGGATTGGGTGTTGGACGGAGGGAGCTCATCCCGTGAAGAGCAAACAAATGTATTCTAATGAACCCACCTGTTCAGCATACTTTCTTTTGTAACAGTCAACATGCCTGAAATTTGTTCAAAAAAAGTGAGAATGGCCCTCCAGTCTGGTGATTTAGGCGGTCAAAAATAACAAGGATAAGCAATTTAAAGCTCAAAATTTCACAGGCACTTCATATTAACAACTCGCCTCTGTGATAGATGTCTTGATGTGCACAAATGCATAGTTGAAGCACAATTAAGTTCAATTGAGGAAATTTAAGTACATGAAATAAAGCTGATAGCAGGTAATCTACCTCATATAGGATAAAGATTCCCAGTGGGCTTCTGCTCGGAGCCATGCTGCTGTCTGCCATTGTTAGTGAGACATGGAAACAAGAAATTAGTAAGTACTTATAGACAATAATAAATGAAAGAAGATACGCGCGTGTGTGTTTATGTTTTACAGAGTAGAAAAGTGAGCAAAACTAACCCAATATTCTTCATCCAGTAAAGCCTCACGCGCAACAAAGCGTCCAAAGTTTCTCCTTTGCAATCCAGCACATTCCTGGTCAGTAAGCTGCAGCCGGTTAAAAGAGATTTCAGGTATCTTTGAGCTCTCGCTCTTAGAAAGAGCCGGGTGACGGATACTTTTGTCATTGTTACAATGAACCTCAAGATTCTTCCATCTATAGTATTGAGCAGGAAATGCATCCCTAAAGGAATTTGGAGCCCAGTGAAAAAAAAAAAGAAGAAGAAGAAGAAAAGAAGTAAAGGACAAAATAGAAGTCAAGTAATAAGTGATACAGTTACAGATAGACATAAAATTTGGAATATTCCTAATGTTGAAGATAACATTTAAATGATATATATATGACATTATCTAATAGCTTAAGCTTTTAGATAATTAGATCAACTGGTTCAACATTGTGAGTTTCAAGTCTCCCCACCATCCATTTATAAAATTATGCAAGTATAAGGCTCTAATGGGTAAAATAAATCCCGCCTACACTTGAGAGGCTTGTTGAAGATAAGATTTACGTGATATACATGTGGTGTTTATATAATAGCTTAAGCTTTTAGATCAACTGATTTAACACCTAATCATTGTCACAATATGAAAACAACCTGGTATCCTACTGATCCTCCAGATTAGCAGCCTTGATACTCGTGATGAGCATACTTAACATATACATGAGAAAGCTGGTTATACTGATAAGTAAATGTGGTATTCATGGAAATGTGGGAATACTTCAATAAAGCATGGCCAAATGTAAGACTTTTATCCATTTTTCACAAGGACAGGAGACCAATCTCTCAGTTGCCACCGGGTAGCAATAACTACTTCTGCCCAGCTTTCAGAAAATGTAAAGGAAATAGATCAAAATTGAGGTTTTGTTACTAATGAATATTAAAATGTTGACCGCAGTATGGAACTAGATTAAAAGTAAGGTTTTGTTGCTTAAGACTAGAAAATCTCTTCAATCCTGTATTATCTCAAATAAATTTTGAGGCTATAATTTGTTGAATTTACAGAGCCCCTAGGAATCCACTTCACTAATATTTCCCCTCAGTCCATCCACTTATTATTTTTTCCCTCAGATGAAGTTCATTTAGGGTTTGTATTCACCATCAGAAACTTACACATGCCTAAGAAAATAAAAGTTATTTGACTTCAACAGAAAATCTGCCTAAGAAAAAATTCCTATAGGCATGCACGGCCAAGAAAATTGCTTCAATAACGTTACCTATTGGTATAAATGCTTCAACAGCGATATATCTATATTTGACAAAGAGTAGAATAATGACGCATGAAGATAGAGATATGTGCATCAATCTTGCAGTGCAACTAAATTAGATAAGAGACGAGCTATTGGCTATGTCTACTAGTCAAAATCTTGTACAACTGATTTACGTAGAAAATAGATAAAAGAAGGGTAGTTTCCGTCCACTTTATTTTGGTATTCGAATCATATTCCTATACAAATCGCTAACAATATTCTCTATAACATTTCTTACCTAAAAGAAGGAAACTCAATTGCCTCCAATCTTATTTTAACTTGAATGAAGTTCATACTCAAGATGTGCTTATCTACAAAGCCACACTTGCTGAATCAGCATATGGTGATCATATAATGGAATTGATGCCTATGTTAGCTTTGTTGGCATATTCTTACATTATCCATCCCCAACCACAATTACAAAATCATGTTAAACTTGTACACCTTTCCTTCGCTATAGCTTTTTAATTTCGTTTCTTGATTGTTTGCCTAAGTAACCAGACAAAAAGAAATATCTGGATATTCTTATTTTCATTTCCATTTTCCATGTAAAAAAATATAACTAAAAATTTTTACATCTGAGAATTACCCAAAAATCATACAAAGTACTAAACCATACCATAAACTAAGCACCAACCTTCAAAATATTAATTAAACTATCCTTTTTCCTTGAGTTAAATTATGCAAATTCCATTACCCAAAAAACATACAAAAGCTTGCAACATAAAATTTCTTGTATAAATATAATAAGCCTAATAACATGAACTACCCATTAAAAATTACCTAGTAAACATGCTGAGAACAAGGAGAGAGTCGCGTTTTGTGCGTTTGGTAGAGAGAAGCCTCGTCAATCGAGGCTGTCGGACTCTGAATTGCGGCAAAAATTTACCCCTCAGCTCCATTCTCCTCCTTTTTCTTTAAATCATAATTGAATACATGATTATTACATGTAAATATATATAATCGAGGTATATTTAATTTCCAATATTTCGAATTTCGGTTCTGGATTTAAGGAAACAGGAAATTCAAGTTGAAATTGAGAGGAAAGGGGTTTTGTACAGGGAATCCGGAGGTCAACAGAGGATTACTATTAATCTCCGTTGTGGATTATTCGTGAAATGGGTCCAGATATATAATCAAGGGATAATTGCAGCAGACGTATCAAACTTTTCATTTAGTAGCAGACTTAATCCAAATATTTTATTTGTGCCACACACGATACCAAATCTTTTATTTGTGTCACACACAGTACCAACATTTTATTTGTGCCACCTGTGGAACCAAATCTTTCAAAATATCGCAGTTGAAGTCCAAATTGATGATTTCTGTTAGTTTGACTGTTAGCTGACCAAATAATAGAATACGACAATAATTTTAACTAATTTTAAAAGGTTAAAATGGTAATTTTACATTTTTTATAATAAAATAACTAAAATCAAATACTTAAAATTAGAAATCAACTTCATCTTCTCCATCCACCCCCACCCCAACCCCAAAACCACCACCACCGCTGCCATCTCCTCCACCGTAGTCAATAACTACACATCTAGTCACCACCAACCAAGCGAACAAATTCCACTTTCTGAAATCAATTTTATGAATTAAATGTAGTTTTATGCACCAATGGCGACGACGTGCTTGGTTCGTGTTGGCTTTACTTTTCTGTACTGTATTATGAGCAAAGAACAAAACCCTCTTCTTCTTTCAAGAAGAAGATGACTCATGAAGAAAATGTTCGATCCTCTTCTTGCACGATTCTCTTTATTGTGAAGAAGAAAAATAAAGAAAAATTGAAGAAGAGAGTGAAAAATTCAACTTTAATGATGGAAATCTGTTCAATTTTCCTAATCTGTTAACAGAACAAGATCTGTTCAAGAACTTTACTCTCTTTTCTGCAAAGAAAATGACGCGTTTGTCGATGGAACACACTCTTCTCTTTCTCTGCAAGCACGCACGAATGTAGTGGAATGGATCTTGAAAGTCAAAAATTGTATGAGTTTTCAGCACTGACTGCCATGGATCTTGAAAGTCAAAATTATCTTTACATGTTTCTTTGCAGCATCCATTTTCAGAAAGAGAAGTCATGGATGATCCAACTTACAGAAAGATATGGCAGTGGCGGCGGTGGAAGAGATGACAGTGGTGGTGATGGTTTTGGGGGTGGGTGGGTGTGTGTGAGGTGAATGAAGAAGATGAAGTTGGTTTTTAATTTTAAGATATGTGCTAGAGGTATATAATGGTATCCATAATGGATACATGGTGTCCCACCATTGGAGGGGGTGCACCACAATTTGTTTTTGTGATGTTCGTTAATCAAATAACGTGACCAGAGATTTAATTAGGCCAACTTTATTGTCTCCATTTTGATTTGTTGTCGAAGCAAAAAGAAATGACAATTGTTCTTAAGTCGGCAATGCTACCTATGCCCCAATCAAAATGCATTTAAAACCCCTCCCTTCCCCCATTGCTATGGAAAGCCTTGCAAGCAATTAAAGCAAGCTATTTTAAATAATGGAGTTTTCTTTTTTTCATATGTAATATGATATGACGTTTCAAAATTCATCTGATAAAATCATTCTTTAGCTGTTATACCACTAATTTTGTCTACGTCTAATGAATCTGGCCTAACGTTCTATAGAATTCCATCTATTTCTCCTTGTCATATTGGATATATAAACTCTTCCCAATGCCAAGACTTAGGATCGGAAGAAAAGTCTCAACTCTTTGGCATGATAGTAGCGTACGATTTTGAGGGACAAAGAAATGGTGTCATATAGACTTGAAACCTAATTATATGTAATGAAGTCGATCTTACTTGGCCTAAGTTCAAGTAGGTATAGGAATTGGAGGTGAGCAGCTCATCACAAAGGCAAGTGAGCTCACTTTGCTTGCCTCGCCCCGAAGGCAAATTGTGAGGTGAGCCAGCCGCCAATCTCCCTTGCGAGCCATTCCCGGCTCGTGAGGTGAGCACGTTGGCTCGCCTGCGAACCACAATTTGACGGTCCATTTAGGCCCATCGGGCGATTGATTTATAGCAATTAGCAGCATGAATTTGATGGAATGACAAATTGCCTCTTATCTTCAAATTTTGAAACAAAAAATAATTTTTTTTTGTTGTTATTCAAATTTCTTACAATGTTTCCCTATAAGTAGACGGTTTGACTTTAGGATATTCATACAGATGTCAACACTCTTAACTTCAAAATATTTTTGGATCATGCTACAAGTACATAATCATTTACATAATACATTACATAATTGACATGTGGTGCACATCTATCGGTAGTCTACAATTTTTGACTTTTCCACACTTCACATCCACGGCCGGATTTCTTCCACATGGGCTTATGTAATCTATTATGTACAATAATTGTGTACATATAGATTTATCCAATATTTTTTTGTTCCCTATTCATAGTTTGTTTGATATTCGCATTGAACTAGAAAAATTCTACACTCTAATTTCACATTTTCTTGTGTATTTACCAAATCCGCAATGACTATCTCATATCATTTTTATCTCAAAAATATTTACAATTTTCAGGAGGCTTTTCAACCATTCGACCAAAGACCAAATTTCCTTGCACCATCCAGTGAAATGAAAGAATAGTTTAAAAAATCTCGACAACTGTACATGTAATATTTCTTTGGCATTTGATACGACGTAATGTGTGGAAGGTAATCGATATGAATATTTAGTAGCTCCCAAGTGGGGAATTAGGTTTTACACTTCTATATACAAGCCTTCCAAATCTAACTCGATCCGATATGGATCATCCTAAAGGAAAAACCGACCCCCTTTAAACCTCAAGCTGGGAGGGAGTTCGATTCTTCGTTGAAGTATCAAGACTTGCTCACCCGTGAAAAATCAAGAAAACAGAAACACGAGATGATTCTCTTTCGCGAGATCCTAGCAAGACATTTATACACGAAATCTTGTAGAAGAGAAAGTTCTCTCGCACCATTTTATTTTTATTGTGACACCACATTGGATACACCAATTACAAACACACGGTGCTAACATTACTCAGTACAAAACCTAAACAAATCAAATCAAACACATGTTGTCATTTGGCATGAATCTTGTTCCAAAGCAAGAAGTTACACAGCCAATGTTTTCATTGCCACACTGCTGGTAGCAAGGCACAGCTGCCCCTCCTCTGGTTCCACAGTCTATTGAGCAACTCACAACTTTCTGTCCACAGGCAACGAGGCACTGCCCAACTTGCTGCCCCTCAACATGCATCAACACACAGCAAACCAAAACAAACCCTAGAAACAGCCCCTTCGCCATTGATGAATATTTCAAGCTCAGTTCCATATATGAGGTTTATTTCTGTATTATTTGATCACCAGCAAGTGGGTTCTTATATATGTATAGAACTGATCAATCTGTGATTGAAAATGGTTGGTTGATTGCAGGAAGAAAAGCGTTTACGTGTCGGACACGGTTTAAGGATCATGCAAGTAGTGTGATAGCCTGTTAAGTCCTAAAATGTGTGTTTTGCGCAGAAGAAATGGCTTTTTTGATGTTAATATCTATGTTTTTGGATAAATATAGGAAGTGTAAATGACAATATTAATCCGTTCGTTACATGTGAGAAAAGAGGAAAGGACAAAAGAGGTTGTTTCTTTTGACCTATTACTTATTTGAATTATTATCTATGCTCTACTAGAGAGATACGTAAATTGCCGTCTGGCAGGATAGACATGACATATTACTTAGAATGGAAAAAAAATTGACCTCATTTGTCGTCGATTACATTACTAAAACTTATGCCACGAGACTTTCTTTTCTTTTATTTCAGGAGTCGAGTTTCTCCTCTTTCCCTCCGAAGGATTATGCCCTTGTTTGGTGGGGATTAAAATCAAATTTTGATAAAATTTAATAAAATATGTGGTTGAAAAGTCGTGGATCTCATAAAATATGTGATTAAAATTAATTATTGATTTTGACTTAAATTAAAATTTTAACATGGGCTATATATCTTCATTGTTGTAATATCATGAGTCAAAAGTCCCTGGCTCAAGTCAATAGAAAAGCGTCAAAATATCTCATGACAATCATACTTATTATATAGGTAAACTTAACACAAAGACGTTCAACTAGACATGTATGCACTCGACAGTACCGACGAACACTATCCTTTACTCTAAAGCAGGAAATGTATCACCTCTAAGTTCAGCAATGTGACAACAACTTCTCTTTAAAATATGGAACATAAGTTCTTATAATCCTGATATCCTCTTTGATTAGAGAAAATACAAGAAGCTGGTAATACATGGGATTCTTGGTCAGAATTAATAGGGATTCTTAACATTCCCAATTACATTTATGATTATTTTTGTTTTAGCATATGTTAAATGACTAAATTCCCATTAATACTAATGAACTTGATCAGATTTATGCAAGGAAATAGCTTGCTAATTATACTTGGCTTTTGGCAGCAGAGTTGATCCCATGCAAGTAGTCACGCAGCCAATGTTTTCACTGCCACAATCTCTAAAGCAATTATCTTCCCCTCCCTTGATTCCACATTTCGATACACAAATAACTATTTTCTTCCCACAGTCGATGAGGCACTCTGCATTTAGCTGCCCTTCCGCGCATACTACCACCCCGAACAGGAACAGAAGCACAGCAATGCCTCGTGCCACTGAATTCTTGCGAAAAGCGCCCATCGTCCAATAGTAATTTATTTATTTTTATGAAATTGTTTATATAGGGGAATGAGTTATATGATACATCAATCAAGAAAATAAGTTTCTTCCCAAATTAAGCAGCCTTCTCCTTTCCCATGTAAGTAGCATGATGGTTTGTTAGACTCAAAGGAGCGTTTCAAAAGTGTATTTGATGCTGTTTAGTTACCTCAAGCTCACGCAAGCAACACGTTGAGAAATG